GGGAGGCAAGTAATAAGCACAACAAATTAGTAATTACATATGCCGTTAGAAGAGGTGGAAAGCATGGAAAAAGACAGGACACATGTATAGCAGGGCAGGGGGGACAGGGCATTCTAGGTGAGGGAAAGTGGCCATTTTAAATAGGGTGGTCAGAGTGGGCTCCATGGAGAAGCAGCTTTGCCACAAAGACTTGGAGGATGTGGGAAAAGAGCCAAGAGGATGTTTGGATGAAGAATATTCAAGACATAAGGAATATTTATTCCCTACTACAAAGGTTCTGGGGTAAGAAGTGCAGTGTGGCTGCAACAGAGTGGCAAAGGGCAAAGTAATAGGAGCCCCTGGGGGTCCAGGAGCGGCCGGGCCAGATGGCTTAGGCCTGTGGTCACCATAAGGACTTTCTACTGTTCAAACCTTGTCACTTCATTTAACCCCGCTGTCCAACAGGAAATGCCCTTGGCTACTTAAAAGGTCCAAAGGCAGCCCTTCTGTAGCCCCCAGAAACGGTTAACGACCCTCTGTTATATACTTTTATACCACCTTGAGTGTCACTTGTCATATTTACACAGAAACGCATTTATTTATTTTTTAATTTTTCCACTTTTATTGAGATATGAGCCAGCATGAGGATTATAACCTGCGAATGCCTTAGAAAGCGTTCCAGAGAAGCATGGTTTTCAGTAGTCTTCTATCTTTTTAGAACAAAGAACATACATTAAACACACCCAGGATACATTTTCATCAAAGTTTCAAAGAGGTATTTAGTTGCAAATTAGCAGGTCAACATGACCCTGATGTCAGGAAAGGGACTAATCTGGGTGTTACCAACAGGGCGTAGGAGGGGAAGTACGCATTCTTATCTTATGAGAGGGCATTCTTTACTTTAATGGTTAAGCAGGTGTACAATGCCTGCTTGATAGGCCGTAAGTCAGGCTTTTTAGTTCAAGCCAAATCAGTTACCCCATATACCTCAATATGTGAAAATCTCTTGTCAGATATAACTGACATATAACATTGTGTAAGTTTAAGGCATTTTGGAACAGTTTAATTAACAAACTGAATTTTTGTTTTAATTCTGTGACTTGCTTGCATTGGATGGAGTGGAAGTACAAATATTTCTTGCCTGTCAGGGATGCTTGAAGCAGTCCCCTCCCTCAAGAATCTGTATGCAAAGGGCTGTAAATTCAGTGGGAGGGAAAGCCTGAGATTCAATCTAGAAGTTGCTGAGGGAAGGGACAGTGAAGGAGGAGGAGGGACAGTGGAGGGGAGAGAGTGAAGGGTGACCAGAGCAAGCCAGAGCATGACCTTTGACCCCTGAAAAATAGATTAAAAAAGGAGTGGGCCCCTATCTAGAAAAAGCTTTTGAGGTTAAGTGTGAAGACTCCCAGTGAGGACCCGCCTTGGGCATCCAGGAATCCCATGGGAGTTGAGTCTTTCAGTGCAGACCACCTGGTCAACTTGGGAGTCAGATCTGCCCCCTGGCTGCCCCTGGGGACAGGAAGAGAGCAGGTTTTTGTTCTCTGCAGCTGGAGTGATCAGGGGAGAACCTCCTGGCATCTGGAAGAAGACATCTGCCCTTTTAGGTTCCTTACCTCAGCCCGAGCTCTGTTGGAATAGCTGTGTGGACCGCCGTCCCCTGTCCCTGCTGACCCTCAACAGCTCAAGATTTAGGTAAACTGGTGATAAGCTGGTGGGGCTCTGGACAACAGAGAGAGGAGGGGGGCCTCTCGCCACTGGACCCACCCAGGAAGGCACCTCAGGGCCTGGCCCTGAGGCCCTGCCCACAGTTTTTCCTTTGGCAATTTGGATAAAAGCTTTCAGCCATCACTCTGGACAGCAGCCAAAAATCCAATCAGGATAAACTGGTTCCGGAATGTGATTGGAGCCCGGTTTGGGGGCTATAGATTGGATTATAATGGGCTTTAGTTTAAAAGGGGGTGGGATCTTCTGATCTGGCCTCACTCAGAAAGCCCTTTAGAGGGCAAGGTAAGAGTTCCATGGGCACAGGAAGAAGCCCTCCTGGACTTTAGAGAAATTTCACCCTGACATGAAGACAAGGAACTAGTCAAGGACTCCCCAGCTTCACCCGGCTTCGTGGCCCAGAATGGGAACTATTGAGCCTCAGTGAATCATCTGGACACACAACTTCAGGAACTGGTGAGCTAAGAAATTTGGTATTCTCCATTTTGTTCTCTTAAACCATAGGTCCACAAACTTTTTCTGTAAAGGGCTACAGAGTAAATATTTAAAGCATTATGTACAGGGCCTCGCCTTGTGGTCTCTGTTGCAACAGTTTGACTCTGCCCTAGGAATGCAAAAGCAGCCATGGACAACAGCTGTAAATGAGTGATCACGGCTGTGTTCCAATAAAACTTTATTTGTGGACGCTGAAACTTGAATATAATTTTATATTGTGAATATAATTTTATATTTCATATAATTTTAACGTGTCACAAAATATTCTTTTGGGTCCCTCCCCCAATTAAAAAAATAAATGTTTTAGAAAATTAAAAAAACCCAAAAAAATGTGAAAACCACTCTTAGCTTGCCGGCCATGCAAAAACAGGGGATGTGCCAATTTGCCAGTCCCTGTCTTAAACCATTTGCCAAAATGCAGCTAGCGTCCCCTTAGTGAATTGTGAAATAAATTCAGTGGGCTGTATTCAGCTTATGAAAAGAAATAGAATTTTTCGATGAATCTAAGATGCCATCACCTGTAAGATACATTATTTCTGATATCAGTATAAAATAAAAAGAACATATGCTGCCAAACAAACTATGAAATGCTACTGATGAGGTACAATCTGATTTCAGAAATGGTAAAATGTAAATATTAGCATGTCCCTTAGCATCAATGAAATGTATTTATGGCATAGAAGGTGATGAAAATAATAAGAATAATAAAAAGTTTTCACATATTGAATTATATCGGGAAGCCATTCTGGTTTAAATCTGATTCAACCTAAAACTTGTTTTTTCCCGGAGGAACCTGACTTATGGCCCAACCAAATAATGTACAATGCTCTCTAAAGCATGGTACATCTGCTTCAAACATTTTCTCCCAAAGCTAAGAATGCACTCTTTAAAGATAGGCATGTAATGTCTCCCTCTCTCTGACACTGATACCAGTACTTCTTTGAAGATAAGCTTTTCTTCCCAGAAATCTAAGGCCAAATTGACGTGCTGTGTATGTGCTAAAACTGCAGCAAAACATCTCCTTATGACTTTGGGAAAAAAATTGTATTCCTATCATGCTTGATGTATGTTCTCTGGTCTGAAATGGTATATAACCATGCTGTAAACCAGGCTTCCCTGGAGTGCTTTCTTTCCTGGGGAAGAGAGTGTTTCTGGGCTAGTGCTCACATTAGCTCAATAAATATCACTCTATCTTTCTTATCTATAGATTGGTCATTAGTTATTTGCATTGACAAAGGTATCATCATATCCATTGTAAGGGAGGATATTAGTTTATAAAACTTTTCATTCAATCACATACACACACACATATCCCTACATACTGGCTGAATTTCACCCTTGCATGATATTGTTAAATCATTTAGATTTGAATTTCACTAAATGCTTGGAAAGCCTGGAATTAGTGGATTCTGGGCTGTTGTACACAAAAATGATCATATTAATAACAGCTATTATTTATTTATGTAGCAAAGATTTGACATTGACAGTATGCCAGGCATTGCTGTAGAAGCTAAGGACACAGCAGTAAATGAAACACGAGTCCCTGCCCTCAAGTAGCTTACAGTTTAGTGGGTGGAGATAGAGAAGAAGCAAAATATATTTTATATATTGGGTGTTAGGCAAGTGAAAAATGCTAAGCTGAAAAGTAACTTTGGGAGTGAAGAGAGCATGTGCATTGGGGGAGGTTCTGATTTTTGATAGCTTGGTCAGGGAAGCCTTGCTGAGAAGCTGTGGACCTGAAGAAGGCCAAAAGCTGGGTTGGGGATATCTGAGGAAAGAGCCTCCAAGGCAGAGGGAGCAACAAAAGTCCTGAGAAAGTACAGGGTCTGGTGCCTTCCAGACACATGAAGCTCGGTGGCTGCAGTGGAGAAAGGGAGGGGCAGAAAAGATGAGGAACAGTGGGCGTGGATGGGTGGTCTAGGGCTCTTTTGGACATTTTATGTTCCCTGGCATTTCTTCTGAGTGATATGAGAAGCCATTGGAGAGTGCGTGCCAGCTCTTCTACATATTTTAACAGGTGCATTTGGGGCTGCCATAGGGAGAAATAACAAAGGTGGTATAAGGTTGGAAACTTCTGCAATGATCCAGGGAGAGAACATGGTGCCTTTGAACAGGGAGGGGGCAGTGGAAGTAGTAGAGAGTGGTCAGATTCCGGGTACCTTTGGAAGATGGAGCAGACGGGGTTTGCTAATTGATTGGCTGTAGGGTGTGGGGGAAAGACTGGCAAAGGACGTCTCCAAAGTTTGTGACCTGAGTGACTAGAAGAGTTTACTGAGAAAAGGAACACTGCAGGAGGAGCAATTTTTTTAGGGGACTGTCTAGAGCTGAGTTTTGGTAAGACTGGTTAGAAATCTTAGCTATCCCTGAGGGTACATCTGGGAGTAGGAGGAGGCCAGTGAGACACCCAGGGTGCAAAAATGAAGGAGGCAGGTACTCTGAGATGTGGAATCTATGCCTCCTTAAATCTTGCCCTTAAATCTTGTGTCCTAATGCTTCCCTTGCTTCACCCTACTGATGGCCCTGCAAGAGGGCACGTTGAGCAGTTTGCAATTGCGGCAGACCTGGGGGACTGGAGAAGTAAATTTGGAACTAACGTGTCACTTAAGTGGTTTGAGCCTGTTTCCTCACATGTAAAATAAGGATTTTAATAATTATCTCAGTGTTTCAGGGGAGGATTAAATAAGGCAATGATTTTGTCTTTTGAAATAAATACTGACTAATGTCACATGGTTGCACTTAGGTGGCCATTTACACAAAGAAAGCACTAGAAGTTGAAGGGACCGCTTTAAGCAAAAAGCAGCTGTAAAATGATAGATCTCCTCTTGTCGTGTGAGGAGGAACAAGCGCCAAACCCACCACAGAAGAACACAGGAGAATCCAAACTCAGGGACAGGTACAATGAAGATGGTGAGCTGATCTTTGTTGGAGTGGAACATGTAAAAGAAGACGCTGAAATTCTCTTTGTCAGAGTGATTTCAAATTCAAAACCAGTCATTTCAAACATTTTGAACAGAGTGACCCCAGAATCCTATTCAAAAAGAAAGAAAGGCCACGTGAATCAAGATCCTGCTTGTGCATGGCAGCCTGCAAATCACATGACCCATTCCTCAAAAGCAGTGGTCATCTCGCCAGTTTTTCAATCTGAATGGAGAGCAATAGATAGTCCTATTATTTCTGAGCCTTCACCTAAAGCTGATTATAAAATGAGCTCACCGCAAGTCATGCCTCACAATTCCTCCGATTTGTTCTCCCCATGGTCTCAGAGTCTAGTTGGAGCCGTACATTCCGTAGGAGGCAAGGATGAAAGTCCTCGTGATTCAAAGCGACTTTCCACTTGTGATATAAACAACGGAAATCCTAAGAGACCTAAACTCAGTGATGGAATCCCAGGGGGATATTACTCAACTGTGGCCCCTTCAGATATCTCTCCTACAATGAGCAGGAGTTTACCCTCAGAAGGTGTCCCATCTTCACTAAGCCGTGTTCAGAACAGAGCATCATTTTCTTGGGCTTATGCAAATGACAAGGCACATTTCCATCTTATGGATCCAGACACAGCAAATAGTGTGGAAAGGCTGGAAAAAACAGACTTTTTGAGTCTAGCAAGTCAAAATGAGACTGTTGATCCCAAGAAAGGAAATCTGATCATGTTACTTCATGACTTTTACTACGGACAGCATGAAGGAGACGGGCAGCCAGAACAGAAGACGCACACAACCTTTAAATGCCTCAGCTGCTTGAAAGTTCTAAAAAATGTTAAGTTTATGAATCACTTGAGGAACCATTTGGAACTTGAGAAGCAGAGGGGTGACAGCTGGGAAATTCACACCACCTGCCAGCACTGCCATCGGCAGTTTCCCACCCCATTCCAGATGCAATGTCACATTGAAAGTGTACACACTACCCAGGAGCCCTCTGCTGTCTGCAAAATTTGTGAATTGTCGTTTGAAACAGATCAGGTTCTCTTACAGCACATGAAAGACAATCATAAACCTGGAGAAATGCCCTATGTGTGCCAGGTTTGCAATTACAGATCGTCGGCCTTTGCTGATGTGGAAACACACTTCAGAACATGCCACGAAAACACTAAGAATTTGCTTTGTCTGTTTTGCCTCAAAATTTTCAAAGCTGCGATACCCTATGGGAATCATTGTTGGAGGCACTGGAACAAGAGAATCTTTCAGTGTTCCAAGTGCCGGCTACAGTTTTTGACTTCAAAGGAGAAAATGGAGCACCAAACCAAGAATCATCAACCGTTTTAAAATCCAGAGCAATTGGAAGGGTTGCCTCCTGAAACAGTGGCTATGATTCAAAATTTAGTTCAACCAGGATCAAGAAGTGCAGCATTCGTTATTGTGATCAACACTGACCCTCAACTGTCACGTGTAAAAACTAAAAAGAGGATGGCTGTCAACTCTTAAGTATTCCAGATGTCACTGCAGCTAGGGTTCTGGTGAAAAGTTATGTTCTACCCACCTCTAGGAATTCTGAAAGGCAGAATTGAGGCTGGGCCATCTTGGCTGTAGATGATAACAAGCAATGTTAGCAATTGTCAGATTTTATAGTGAGAGTTCTCCAGCTTCCTACTGTCAAGAAATAGCTCAGAAGTCTTCATGCTCTTTCCTAGTCAACCCCTCCCCCTACAGTAACCACTATTCTGACCTCTACCAACATAGATTAGTTTTTAAATAAACGGAACAACACAATAGTGTTTTTTTTGTCTTTGTTTTCCTTTAAATAAATGAGATTCATTCTTGTGTGTAGCCATGGCACATTCTTTTCCATTTGCTGGGTAGAATCCCATTGAATGAATATAGCAGTTTTATACACCCATTTTACCATTGATAGATTTTGAGGCTCTTTCTTTTGCTACTTTTTTAAATTTTTTTATTTTT